CACCTTCCCGGTAATGAGCAATGACCCGTTTTGGGTCTTAACCACTAAGCCCCTGGAAGCATCGGCTGAGGGACAGCGAATCTTTGCATTGACGGTACGACTTTCCCAGTCTGAGCGCCTCCGCGAGCGCTCGATTACTTGAACCGTAGTGTTATACAGCGGGCACACGGGAGTCTTAATATCTAAGGTCTTAAAGGCCTTAACCTGCAAACAATGGGTGGCGTATTTGGCAGCTAAAGCCCACTCCCCGGTCCTGCATCATGCTCCTGTAAAACAGTACGAGTGGCGGCCTTAATACGTCGAACAGTAGACTCTGCTCGACCGTTAGACTGAGGTTCATCTGGGAAGGCAACCGTTTTATGAATACCCCGCGCGGCGAGGTAGTCCCTTAGCTTGGCGTTGTTGAAGTCTCGGCCTCTCTCCGAATGGAAACGCCTGACTGTTCGATTATGGTAACTGCAGCGAGCTATCACTTATTGGATGCCAGCTACCACTGTGGACTGAGTTTTGTTGGGAAGGTTCTCAATAAAGGGAATCTCCATCACTTGTACTTTGTGAAGCAAGCAGTCCGTGGCTTCCTGTTTATACAACTCTCGGTCCGCTTGCAAGACATCAAGCCACGATGTTGCTGCAGCCTTGTGATCTTCGGTCACTGGGATGGGATCCTCCACTTCCTCATGAGTCTCCTCCCCCCTTAAAAACTCGTCATCATCTACTGCTCCAAGAGCAGCATCGATCTGGGTCCACGTTGGCATGATGCTCTACCTCTTGTACTAGAGGGCCATGATCTGGCTCTAGTACTGGGGCTTCAACAGCCTCTGGAACCTCTGCTACAACTGCATCGGCGACCCCAGAAACCGGGTTTGCACCACTAGGATTCTCTTCACTGGGCTGCGGCTTCCTCTCCAAAAATGGGGACCGCTAACACCCCAACCAGCATATACCTGACGTCGCAAAACTCATCCTTGGAGAGTTCGAAGGGACCAGACAGATCCATAGACAATGTCCACGAATCAGGATGAAGCACCTTACGGCGCGCTCGAACCTGAGCGGCTTTTTGTAGGCAAATTTGACAGTCGCGGCGAAACGTTATGCGACCTCTCTGCACATGGCGAATAAAATCTGCTGACACTGAGGCCAGTTTGTGGGACGTAACTTGGCCACGCGCGCAACGAAGATGACGCTTAACCATGGCAATCATAGCCTGAATTAAACCAGGTGCCCACTTAGCTCATTTACTAGAAACGCCTAAACTATTGGCATGGTGAGAGACTTCACTCCCAGGACCCTCCAGGTCCATTACACCTTCTTCACGAACCATGTTTGTACCAAAACCTGTTGGTTTGCGACGGGCATGGCCTAAGGGCCCTGGTCAAACCTTACCAGATTCATTTTGTATTGGTTTTGGAGCCTTTCCCACTCACTGGTCGCCCAGAATGAGGGGTACCCATCTACTGGCCTATTCACATAAATGGGGCTAGTACTAACGTTTCCTGGAGCTGGCCATAGGTACGACTCAGGATCATCAGGTTGCTCTAACCCGAAGGCAGGATCAGGCAAGTGTAGCCACTTGCTAGTTGCTAGCTTCGAGCGTTATCGCTCCTAATAAAAGGAAGCGCATAGACAACACGTCATCCGTTTTGACTAAACCTGACTCTATCGGAGGAGACAATCCATCTAGACCATATCGACCTGGCCCATTTCGCGAACGTACTGGCTTTGGAGCGTCAGGACCTGCAGGAATGTGTCTACACACTGTGTAGGTTCTACACGGAGGATTTCCTGTTAGCACTCGCAAGACAGCGCTTAAGGCAAGTGACAATAAGAAGCCATATGTTTCTGATGAACATAGGTCCTCTTTTATATCTACTGAGATGTGCTCTAAACCCAAATCCTGAGCACACTTCACAAACGAGTCTTTAGACTCTCCTGCAAACACGTGCACGAGTGCTCTTCCCGTCTGTTGGTAAACAACTTACAACTATATCTATCAGCTGTTCTGGGGCCTTAGGAAAAAAACCTTTTAGCGAATACTCGCATGGCTGCCTCTGTTTCACACTTACCCTGTTGCATAACCTGGATCAATTCAGCGTTGGTGTGTCCCTCAAGGTCGTGAGATATGGCCGCTATTCTGGCTTGTGCCACTTTGCGGTGACGAACTAGAGCTTCATACTTCTCAATGAGATCCTCAGCTACTTGTCTTGGAACCTCTGGACATCCACTGGAAGTATCGATCTCGAGCGGACCATTCTCTTTGTGAACCACTTCAAAAACGTCTCCATCGCATATTATGCGAAATCCCAACTTACGAAGGGCCGTATAAGACACTATGGGAGATACTCTTTCTACTGAGAGTAACGTTCCCTCTGGTGAGATCATCAGGTGACTTTCTCCTAGTGCCAGAGAGACCTTTACTGTCGGATAATTGAGGGTGCGCTCATGTCGTTTGGCCGTTTTCATACAAGCAGTAACACCTCCATCTAAAAGTCCCATTTCTCCGACCGAAACCCTCTTAGTACTTTCAATGGCTTGTCGAATGCTTTCACTCGGCGAAGTCTCACTTACTTCAGTACTGACACGCAGCCTGGCCATTTTCATTGACCTCAGAAGTTCTTGTACTTCCAGAATAGCCTTAATATCCACGTTCTCTAGACCACTAGTTCCGCCAGAACTAGCTGCCCCGCAGTCGAAGATTGAGCACCTGCCACTCGAGCCTTGGCGACGGATTTCCCTCTTCCTTTTCCTTTGCCCTTCTGCTCCATTTCTGGATCATAGGACCCTCCGCCGGGGCGAGTACACGCTGGCTTCAAGCGGGTGGTTGCTCCACAGTTGTAGCACCTTCCTTTTACTACAGGTTCGTGCGTATATTGACGATTAACGCCGTAAGAACAACCTTCGTCACTAACCCACTTAAAGCACTGAGGTTTGACCTGCGCCTTTGCCTCGACCATAGCCTGGGGTTGATCACTCTTGGCTCCTTCAGCATTCTTTGGCTTGGGAGGGTCTTTAGGTCTAGAATTATCTTGTTTACCCACACCTTTTCCTTTACCCTCTTCACTGTTTTCTGTCAACAGCGCTAACCTATCCCTTCTTGCCATCTCGCTTTCGTTGCCAACTGCGCCTTCCAGCTCGGCCAGAGTGACCTGTGACATCGACTCCACCTTTTCATACGTGGGGATGATGTCAATATGCAAATCATGTCGGAACGACGCAATCCGAAAGCTGATATTAGGCTTCGACTTAGAGCTTAGTACTGGACCACAATTTGTCATTACAACAACCGGACGCTACTGTTTCACACAGCTATGTGGACCCATGCTTATAGGCACAAGCAAGTAAGTAACTGAAGAATGGAGCATTTGTTAGACTGCATATAGCCTTGCACAGCCCACAACGCCAACATTTGCGACTGCCAAAGACGGCACTGAAGAAGCTCGCAAGCCTCCATGTGGTTGGGTTGCCCGAGCATGGGTACTTGTCCACGTACCATGCTGCCATTTGCGGCCCCACAAGCACACTAAGCAAAAGAAAACAAACAGAATGGTATTGGTTGCTGGGATATTTTAAGACACAGTACCACATGACGCAATTCCCGTCACCCTCTGCCGGCAAGAAACAGCAGTTGTGTGCATTGCCTTTCCTTCACCTGCTGACCATGTCCGCAAGCTCAAACAAGGAAGCAGGTGCAAGCACTCGGCCTACTCTGTCACCAATCGCTCGCAGCACAGCTTGTGCTTCTGCTGCTGCTTCTAGTGCTTTGTTGAGCTCTTCGGGCACTTCGCTCTTTGTTCCTGACAAGCCAATCACAAATCAATACTTCAGCCAAATGAATCACCCTGTTCGATGCCTTTCTGGACACGGGTATGTGCCAGAGCAATCAGCGCCCATCCCTGTCAAACCACAGGCCAATACATTTCCTTTAGTTGTGCAAACTGCCTTTGTGCCCCACCTCGAGTCTTGGTTCCTGAAGATCTCTGAAAACCTGGACAGCCTCCAGGGCTGCCTGAAGCGCCTCTTCCCGCCGTTTGCTTCCACATCGGGAGTTGGCAATCTCTGCGAAACCCAACCGCAAAACAGCCTGTCAGTGCCGCCGAAACCAGTGAAAGCTGGTCACATCCCAAGCAGTCTGCCTGCCTTATGCCGCTGGCTGCAACCATCTCGGCTTGCTGCAGCCATCTCCTCGGACAGAATTCGGAGGCCGCCTTTCCGGTCACCTCTGGCAGAACCTGAATGCACCAGCGAAAATGCAGCAAGACACAGCAAAAGGAAGGATGCATGCCTGGAGCTGAGGCTAGTCGAGGCTAAGTCTCTGACATGCCAGGGCCAACATCCGGACGGCATCTGCAGGGCCTCACCCAATTCACCCACTGGCCCACAGAAGGCGACAAGACAACGAAAATGCTTCAAAAGTTGAATGTGCCTGGTGAGCCATCGGGCTGGTTGCGGAGAATGGCTAGAGCTTGCTGCGCCTTCTGCTCTGCCAACTGGCTTTCCTGCGCCCAAGGCACAAGCCACATCTACCGCATTACACACAGGAATCCCTCGCCTCCTCATCTATGTGCCTCTCGGCATCCCGCAGCAGTACAGCTGCATCATCCAAGCTGGCCATCGCCAAACTAGGACTACGTAGCTCTCATCCGGGCACTGGCAAATGACTCTTTGTCAAACCATGCATGGGTCATCCTACCGTTTTCCTAACGATGCAAACTGGCTGTTCTGAGACAAGCCCTGTGCCAACTTTGATCGCATGACAAGCCAGACCAATACTGCCCACAATATGCCGACACTGCAAATGCATGACTATACAGGATCCATTCCTAGAGTGGGCCTGGAGCCAATCGCGAGTTTCACATTGATAGATCAGCGTGACTTCGCCAAAGTCACACAAGCAAAAATACATGCAGATTCGTTGCTTCCGCAACCTGACTATTCTGTTCTAGATGCAACAGACGAAGAACGTTGAGTCGTATCCTGAGGTTTAAAAACATGGCAGGAGCCACGGTCGTAACACCGTAGCAGATAGTCATTATCGTCTGCTTCACGACCTGCACAATCCAGGTCCAACAGTACGGTTGCACTTCAGAACAAATAAGTCGCTAGTCCCTGCCTTACGCTTGAGAATACCAAGCTCAATGAGGGTTCGGGCAAGGCGTCCATGATCAAGGCTGAGTGGGCGGCCGTCGGGCTGATCCTGCAGCGTCTCCAAATTAACGTTTTGCGTTTTGCATTGTTTGGTCTCGGCGCTCCGGGTCATGAGCTGGAAGTTTTGCGTCCTGCTTCACCTCCATATGACAAGGATTCACGGCCTTACTAACGGATAGTATGTCAACAGGCCTTGCTGATAACGACATTCAGCACGACCGTGTAAACATCCTGAGGCTTGTCGTTGGGTACCAAGTTGACAGCCTGGAGTGCCAACTGCAATGTGAAAACTGCTTACACGAGATCCAGTGGGCCTCTCCACCTGCGAGGTCTCTGCCCAAGGCCGCGTAATGCCTGCAGCGAAGGGATGCATGGCACGATGTGGCGTTTGCACACGGAACGCTGACTGAGACGTTCGCTGGAGACCGTTGCAGGATCCATCCACATGCACCGGCAAGTGGCTTCTGATGTCCTCGACTTAAGTGTAACAAAGGGCCTATCACCTCTACCTGCACATAACAGACCTCAGGCCTCTTCAGCCCCAGGACCTCTTTTGTAGACTTCCGCCAGCTCCATGTAACGAGCCAACACCTGCCACGGCCTCAGTCTTCAAGATTCCCTTCATCCTAGACGCAGCTGTCGTCTTGGACAGCAACCCATCGTCTGCGTGCGCCCAGTGAGGTATGCTTTCTGGACTCAGGGGATTTTCAGCAACCTTTCAAGGTAGCGGCAGATCCAGGTGCACGAATGTGTACACATGTGTACGGCTTGAACTGATAAGCTGCAGGCCTGTGCTATAATGTCTTTACGATCATCGACCCATCGAACTCGATCTTCGAGCGAAATTTTGTTGTTTCCATGGAGGTTGGCTATGTCCACCTTTAACCAGAAAAGACCATCGCGGCCCAATGGCATAGATTCAGAAAACATCAGAAGAGCACGGCTGACATCATCCCCCATGTGATTCAGATGTGGCCTCAGCTGTGGGCATCTCTTGTTCACCCTATTTTGCACCACAAGCAAATGGCTGGTGAAAATGAGTAAATCGCGGGAGTGGATAGCAGCGCCCTCGAAAATCAACGTTGTGCGGAAAGTATAGTCGGTCAGCATTGATGAAGTCTTCGGCAACCCGCAGTTTCAACTCGAAGGTCGGACGCTCCTTGCGGGCTGTTGCAGACAAAGCTGACATGACCCCTTTGAGCAGCAAAGGAAATTGATAGTTGCTTCCCTCTCATCCCTTGGAAGTCAAGCCGCTCTCTTTAGTGGGGTTCTATCAAGAGGCACTTGCAACTAGAGGTTTCCCAGGCCAAAGGCCCATGTATAGCTTCCTTGCCCCAAATCCTAACCCAACTCTGGCCGCACTGGCAACTGTCTGCCAAAGATCTGACCGTAGTTCTCGGATGCGCTTTTCAGCGTTGAGACGCCTCTCCAGCACAAAGCATGACCTTTTCCACGTTGACCAAATCACACGACACTGCTCTTTCACAGCCTGAGACGCAGAACTTGATAGTCCGGATCATCTGCACTCGGAGGTGGAGGAACCTCTTCTGCTGAAGGGTCAGCTCTGACATGCACGGGAAACATCCAGTCTACGCATCCATTGAAGTGACAAATTCCCATGCGTGGCTGCTGCTGTCTGCCTCCCTCTGCTCTTTGCATCTACATGCGTCTACTTTTCCAGGCAAACAAGATAAACATGTGGTAGCAAGTTAAAGCCACAATGGACTTGAGGCGGTCACCGGCGGGTCCGTGTTGGGTGGAACATCTGCAATTGCCAAGTCTTGATTCTGGACCTCCCTCATCAACTCCAGAATGCGCCCGTTGATTCTCCATGGCATACTTCCCAGGCTGTCCTGCTCGACCATAGATAGGACAACACACAGGACATCGCAAAGGACTTTGCAATATCTCGCAAATTTGCGGAAAATGAAATGCACAGTCATCTGCAGAGCAAACATCGAGGTCCATAATCCGAGCGCTTCGTGATGCACTGTAAGCTCTCAGCTGCGCCATTGACTCCGAAGGAGTTCTAACGAATGAGGACTTGTGGAGGAGGTACGGGCCTTGGTTGTCAAGAACTGGTAAACTTCGTAAGCAAACACAAAGCCATCAGGGGGCCTTGGGGTGAATCTCCACAAGGTTGCCAGGACAGTGGAGGGATGACCATGGGCTGCATCTTGGGCCGGACGAAGTGCAAATTTTCACCCTGTGCACTCAGGACACGGGGTGGCTCACACGAGAAGGCAAGGGTCCTCCGACTCCATGCGCGAGCGTGCCGCTGGATGCAGGGACAAATACCCAATCTGAGCGCTTTTCCATGTGTACAACCCACTTGACTCACTCGGCTCCACTTGACTCCCGGGCTCAAAGCTTGCTTGATGCCTTCCCGGCGCTTCCCATGGATCAAGGCCTTGCAGCCGACATCCAGCACTTGACAGCCACTGACTCGCTCTGACACTACATCCTTCTTCTCTGGAATTCCTACCAGCTATTGTAACCGGCCTGCTCGACCGTGTGGCTGGCTGCCAACCTGACAAGACAGGCCTTTGAGACCAAGCAGTTCACTGCTGGGAGCAGCTAGGAAGCCGACCCTGTAAATTCCTGCCAGGAGCTCTGAGGAAACAAACTTTGCACTTGCAGTGCACTTTGCAGTGACTTGCTAAGAGCATCCCCACCGGCCTGAGCTTCACTCGGCACGGAGATTGTCGCGCAGTCCAGCAACAAGTCAACCAATGCTGCTCCCATAGGCACCGATTTTGTCCGATCTCTGTATGCCTGGGGTGCATCTCTGTGTTCCTACCTCCAGACACTGTGCCGGTCTGCAGGTAAGCCTTCTTCAGCTTGCGCATCTGCAAGAATTCGCTCGTCTTCATCGAACGGACTCCTGCTATGACACACTCCGACCACAGTTTCAAGAAAGCATGTTTTTCTAAGAAGCAATTTTTCGACAGTGGATGCCAAGGCCACCTTCACCAGCGGCAATCTGCAGCCACAACACTTCGTCCTCGATTGCCTGACAAACTGCTACATAAAGGGGCGTCTTCCTGTTCAACCTCTGTGACAATACCCGGGAATGTTAGAATGGCCTAAAAGGCTACGTCTTTGACTTTGGCTATGCCATGCACAAAGCTGTCTCAAAAAAAACAACAACAGGGAGGCGTGTGCCGCAAAGCACTATTTGAATTGAAACGTGTCCACCCGAAATCAATGGTGTCAGGAAATTGCCGGAATCGAACGTGTGCGCATAATGCAAATTGCAAGAGTACCGATTTGTTTCTCACTTCGTCCAGCTGTCGGGTTCTCGAGTTGAGCGGCGACCCTTATGTAGCCGTCATGCAGGATTTTGACTCCACGGCCCCTCATCTCGCCCGCCTTAATCAAATTTGATCTTGGGGCTGATGCCGACAAGCCAACACATAATCTAGTTCGTCATGCAATAGTATGCATCTGGGTCTTGTTTACATCCTTCGCCAACAAAAAACCTAGTTCTATCGGCGACACACATCCCGTTCCCGCAAGAATAAATGCGGCTGCCCTGTTGAATTCGGTAGGCTAGCTTGTTCTTCCATTGCTTCAGCACGATCCAAGGTGCACCAACTTCATCCTATCAAAACCCAAAGTTGACAAGTAGGAACTGAGCACAACAATCCGTCCGTATCAGTCCAAAATGAGTTTAGAATGCAGAAGTTGGACGTTCAGTGCCATGTAGGTTGAACCGAAAACGACAAGTTCAAACCTCCCTAGCTCCAAAACCCGCAAGGTCATGGCACAAAAGCCACAATCAGCCTGGATTCAAAGATGCTCAGAGTTAGCCATCATTTACATCTAGACAGGATTTGCCGGCAGTGGTGAGCCTCACCAACCGCAGTAGCTGCTGTAGAGAACGGAACCTCTCCAAAACGATCCCGCTTGGCTGCCTCTTGCATCTCATCTTTGTGTCGGAAGCATGGCAGCATCAGCAAGTTCAGCACGGTCTGGCTGGCAATGATGGCAAGAAGTTCGGGCTCCAGTCCCAAAGATGTCAACATCCTGAAGGATTTGGATCCCGTGCCCCTGCGCTGTTCAGCATTCTCGTCGGATAGGACCCTCGCCATGGCTTCCACCCAGGGCATCCACAATCGTTGCATACCGCTCGTCATTGCTCCGCGTCCAGCATCAGCATGCGACTGCCGCGCTTCGAGAAACTCCCGCAGGGCTGTCGTCTGCGCCAGAAACTCCTGAAGCTGCTGGGTTTCGCTGTCTCTCCTCGTCCCGCTGTACCCTTTTTTGGAATTCCTAGTGACCTAGTGACCTAGTGCTGCATGCCCGGAAGCGAGAAGCAGAAAATATTCCACCAATCCAAGGGACAACTGCAAACTGCCTCCGCCTCCCAGAGCTTTCATGCTTCAAGCAAGCATGTGCCTTCAAGCGACCAAAAGGAATCATCGAGGTCATGAGTTTGAAGCTTTCATGTGCCATAGCTGCAGAAAGCCCTCCGTCAAAGCCCTACTGTTTCTGCAATCGGCCATGACTCGCCTCGGCCTCTGCAGTGAGAATAGGCATGCGGCCCAAACCATAGAGTTGCTTCCGTGTCGCTTGCAAGGCTTCTGAATCTTTCTTGAATGCAGACGGATCTTCCAAAAATTGCTGGAGCTTCCCCAACGGAAGATCCTCTAGCAAGATGCCATTATCCGCCAACATGTACGCATCCATGTCCTCTATGACCTGTGCTTGCAGTCTCTGGCAGGACTTTACACTCGCACACAGTTCCTGCCTGGCTATTGTCCCCAGAGAAGTACAAGCTGATCTTTTCCTGCAGCCTTTCTGCCTCACCGCGCCAGATCTCAACCAAACACAACACTTTCATCATGTTCGGCACACTGACTACTTCAGGCAGCCAATACTTGGAAATTCACAATGTGGACAGGGTTGGCCACACCAAGTCGACGTATGCTATTTCACCATATTGGCAGGAAGCACAGCACACCAAGCAATCTGCCCACATTGAATCTCAACAGGCCTCCGAGATACCAGCGTTGGCGAGCTGTCCATGCACGGCCTCCAAAATATCGCCGCCTCTCTCCTCGTTCTGCCTAGCTCGGAGAACCGCCTGGACAGGTGACTGACTTGCCACAGCCCTCCAATCTAAGGATCCACACTCAAGCCTGCAGAGCCACAAAACGAGACGTTGATCCTTCCAAGGTAGTGAGTCGCATCGGTAACCTGAGCAAGGTCGCAGAATTGCCTTTCGATACATCTGGTACTTAAATTAGAACACTTGAAAGAAATGTCCCCAATTGTCGAGCCTGTCTTGCTAACACAAGGCATTTGCACGCAAGCCGCACTTGCCTGCTGGACCAATTTTGGCGCATGGATTCAAGCGCAGCAAAGCACACGCTTCACAAAGCACACAGTTGACTCTTGGTATCTCTTAGTTTTCATGCGTGGGTGCGGCTGGCACAGCTCGAGGAACTCGAGGCGCACTTGGGAGGTGCGGAAGGAAGAAAGGCAATGACATGTTCCAGAGATCGGTGTTTGGCTTTTGAAGCATTGCAGGTATGCCCATTCATGCCAAGTCAACGTTGCTGTGGCACACTGCATCTGCGTGCACGTCAAGCACGCGATCATTGGGCTAGGTTTTCCACTTCAAAAATGGCACAGCTTGTACTGCAGCTGTGAAAAGTACCATCCGCATTCAGTCCCTCGAGGCAAAACTGTGGCAAGATTTCGAATACCTTGAAGGCTTGTCTCAGTCTCACGCCTCCTGACAGTTCCTAGCACGCGCACACTTCAAGTCCAAAAGGTATCAAATGAAATTACATTCATTTACACCAAAAGCTGATGCATCATGTATGTCCACGCAAACCAGCATGCCAAAAAGGATTCCGCATGACGGCATTCAATCGTTCTGCATGGCTCTGCGTAAAAGGTCCACAGATGGAACCAACTACAGCTGCAAAGCTTGGCCAACACACCAGCCAACGCGGCAACCAAGAAGAACTGGCGCTGCTAATGAAATCAACCATGGTACAGGGGAAGCTTGGAATTATGTTTCTGATTGAGCGAATTTGTATTTTGAGAGCAGAAGTGCTAGTGTCAAGGCATGCAACAATATGTTTTTTGCCACCAACTACACCAAACCAGCAATGACAATGCAATGTTCATGCTTTGTGCAATCATGTAACGGCACGTTGACTTCATCTTCTCCACCTTGCCAGCGTGCATCTTGAGCACAAGATGACACCTGCCAAACACGTCGTATAAAAAGTGCGGCACACGCTGCTATTCAAACTTGGCACTTAGCCTCGCTCACAAATCTAATTGCTCCTGGAAATCGCTGGGATCGGAATGAGGGCACCTGCCATACAGAAGACCCACAATGCAGACGCTTGAACATTCTGAGCCGGTTACCTTCGACTGCCAAATCGCATGATGCCATGGCGACCTAACACGCATTCGCTACGTTGTGATTGCACATATTGTACATGCACATGATGACAAGTTTGGGGTATGTGTGTTTGGACATTCCTGATTATGCCTCCCTTCCCTTGACCTCTCGCAACAGGACAAGTGTTCCAACACATTTGTGGCGCAGTGTATGAACACAAGCCAAAAAGCTGAAACATACATTACAACTCATGTACCGCACTTACGAATTTGAAGGATATCTTGAATCTACCTATCTTGATTGTCGATATATTTAGCATACACAAAACAAGTGACTTCGAAGTCCAAACTTCATTTGAATGCAGACGGGTCGGCGGCGTCTGCCTTTGTCAGACGGTGTTGACTTGGTGTTCCAACGCGCTCGAACAAAAAAATCGGAATCTGACCAAGCACGATCAAAGAATACGCTTGTTCTAGGCGTACGTGACTTGAGGAATATACCTGTGCAAATTGCAGATGCTGAGCAAACAATGTGTAATTAATGAAACATGAGTTCTGAACAAACTTCACTACTCTCAGCCCCATGCCCTACAACAACACTGCCCGGCCGACTTTTGTCTCGGCTTGCTCGAGTCCTGAAGGCTTGCAGGCTGAGGCCTTCAGGGCTCTCGGCGGCAAACCTTCATTTCAGGGACTCAGAACAACCCTGCCACGCCGCGTTTTTTTTCTTTGGTTGTGTTTTCTGGTGCGCTTGTTGGCCGGCATGGAATCAGTACGCTCGGTCTGACCTAATCTCGGCCATTCTGCATCTACAGCTCCATTCTATCTGTATTGGCTCTGAAAAAGCCCAAGGTAAGGGCTCGAAGCCCATCCTTTAATGCCTTTTTCGTCCTGACCTTGCGTTAGCACCTGGCGTGGCAAATCACCGCGCAACTCAGGGCGTTGATCGACCTTCGCAGCCGGTGGTCTCTCCACTGGGTAGGTGTTCTTGGAGAGATAAATCACCTGGGGATGCTGCAACGCCAAGCCGTCCATATGGTGTAGTTCAATAGGGAAGGGGCTCTCCGCCAACAGGCAGGGTGTGGCGCATACGGTCACAGAGCAGCTACCTTGCCCGCTTTCTCCAGTTCTCTCAGTTGCATCAGGCTGGTGCCAGACGGTGGGATTTCCACATATTGTAGCTCCCGCTGGGCAGCTTCCCAATACTTTGGCTTGAGTGGCGGGGCAAGGTAGACTCGCACTGGGCCCGGGAGCACCCCTTTACACCCATAGGCATGAACCAGGGAATCGTATAGATTTAAGTGCGGCATGTGGAGGAACACTGTATCCCCCATTCCTACCACCAACGCTCCTAGCATTTTGATCGCTGTGGATACGTCCTTGCTGCTACGCAAAGCAAGACCATGTCCTGGAAGGCCATGGTTCCAGCCCGGTATCCAACTCAGCTTTTGTCGTTGAGCCGTTGCAAAGCGCAAAGAGATCCTTTTTGGCTTGGTGCACTTGCGCGGGAGCTGCTGTCATGGCACTCGTTGACTGCATCATCCATCCCTCTGTAGATAGAACTGGGGTGAAGTCTTGGGCCAGTAACTCCAGACGGATTTTGTCCGCCCAATCCTCCCTTTGCACATGCAGCTCCCCGTTCCAGTCGCACATTTCACACACCTCGTGACCGAAGGTGCTTTGCGAGGAATGTTGGCAACGCATCGGGTTGGATGGCAGGGGCACACTTGGTGCGAAACTCCAATGCCTGCGCGTCCTACTCATTCCCCCATACCTGTAAAGAAAATCTTCCAGCGGCTCTATTGCCCCCGGCTTCCACGAGCGGCGGAAGTTATATGACCCCCATAATGTTGATGCCTTCGAGCATCCTGCTGAGGTTCGCCAAGCGCCATTGAATACTTGATCCTTAGTTTTTCAAAGACCGTCAGACCCTTCTGGGTCTGTGCTTGTAGGTCTTTGACAGATTGGAGGTGCGTATCTTCTTTGTAAAAACCGAATTTGCACCTTGCCAGTTCAAGAGCCGGCGCGAATGGCTGAAGAAGGGCAGGGCTAGCGCCGCTCTATGGACGAGTTCTCGATAGGGCAAGTAGAAAGACGACGGCACAGTGGCACGCGTATGGTCCTGCGGTGGCTCCTTCTTTTTTCGCTTACCTCTTCGGCTCGTCTGACTTGCGCTGCCCTCCGCGCCTGCTTGACTTGGCGCTCGATCATGTCCTGAAGAGGGCCCAGCCGACCCACTAGGAAGATGACTAGACGGTGAGCTTGACATGGATGAGCAGGGTTCTCTTCCTGCTGGAGTTCTCCTCTTGGGTGAGCTTCTTCCACACCGAGCAGGTCCGCGACCGCATCGGTGTGGAATGTCATGATGAAGGACCCAACAGTGTCTTTGGGCAATTTGACGAATTTGGCGATCCAGACATGATTTACTCGAAGAGAGATGTTTGCAGTGTCTGCACATCATGGAAGGAGTGTACTGCAAGTCTGGCGGTGGGTGGGGCGGAGCATGATGTCTCCCGCGCTCCAATGTCTAAGGACTTCGCACCACTGCCGACAGGATACAGGCAGTGGACTGGAAGTCGAGTGCTCGGGCGCTCTCTCGCACGCTCGCCTGGCACATCATACGCAACCCACTTGTACGCTGAGGCTGCGTTAAAAAAGGGCCTCAGCACAGAGCCGCCTTCAAGCATGATAGGCTGGTTCTCTTGCCCCATATTCAATTGTTACAACCAAAGAGAAGGCTACCCAACCCCGTCACTACCATTTTAAATGAGAAGTCAAGTGAGGTTTTGGCGCAGCCCCTCCTGTCTCAAGGAACGCTGGAAGTTGCAGGGGCCAAGGTGGAGGCGCTTGCAGCGGCTGAGTTGCTATGGAGGGCGAGGCGCCCGCAACAATCCCTTTGATACGGATGGAGGAGGATGGGCGAGGCTTGCGGGGGATGAGGCTTCCCTGCCGGACTCTCGCTCGGAGCTTGACACGACGCCCCCAAGTCAACTGTGTACTGAATGCGATTGGACATTTCCAAGTGGTTTTCCAGGACTGGGCAAGTGTTATGGGCCGCGAGCAAACCAGTCTGGCAGTCCAGCACAGAGAACGGAAGGAAAGGATGGATCGTCTCGCCTTCTAACTGGGACGCATTGAGCACTTGCTGACGCGACAGCCGAGGCCGGCGCTCGCGAGGCTTAAGCACCTAAGTGGGAAGTCGAACCATACCAAAAAGGCCGTTAAGGCCAAGAGCCAAAACAGGCCAGGCGGAGAGACAAACGTGTAAGCCTCTGTACAGATGGAGGCCCCTTTGTAACCTGACACAGGCAGTCGCAGCCCTTCTAAAGGTGCCGTAGCAGCACGTCTGCTCCTCTCTACTGTCATGGGCTTCTTGAGGTTTTGCTGCACCCCCTTAATCATGTAAATAGCCCGTACACAGTGCCGAGCGTTGCAGCCAGA